TGTGTGCACACTGCTGAGAAAAGACACACTGTAAAGCACTGTTTGTGCTCGCTGCAGTTTTCATTATGTGTGAATAAAAAGTTGCAAGTGTGTTGAGCACTTATACTATTTTCCTCTCTGAAGCTCCAACTTCAGTTCAACATTGAAAGAGCAACAGGAAACCAGGACTCTGAAGGTCTCAAGGACAGAGACGCGGCTTTGACACCTAGCTCATAGCCTTGCACAACTCACTTGCACTAAATATATGCTTATTCTGGTAACATCACCTTCTGCTATATTAACCCTCTTATCGTCAACTATTACAGCAATATCAAAAACGAGATGCGTTTTTTCAACATTAAATAATTGCACAAACAGCAGTAAATTGCCTGCCGCAAACCAGTAAATCTGGTGCTCGGCCAGGACGAAATCGATGTTGACACAGCAGATAATTATCACACTCTGACATCATTACATTACAAATCATGAGATCTTTCAAGTGGGATCAGCAGCGATAAGTGACCATGTGTGAGCGTTTATTCGTTTACAGGTAGTATGAAGATGTGAAATGTTTGTACGATATAACAGGACAAAGAGGCTATTCCGAAAGTGGGACTGTTACTATATTTATTAATAAGCTTCCTCTTTTACGGTGACATGATCAGTTGTGGCTTGCGTGAGTAATCACAGAGCTGACAGCTGGACGTATGTTGCTGTAATTAAGGCTAGAATTTCAACATATTATTCATTACGTTGAGTTTTTAAAGACAAGACAGCTGGGTCAAAAAAAAAAAAAAAAGGCTGTTACTAGACAGTCATAGAAGAAGAAAATTATATTCAAAAATAATAAATTTCTAGTAAAAAATTTGTTACCCTTCACAAGAACTCAAAGTTAAGGTCCAATTCGATTCACTTTTATTTATATAGCGCCAAATCACAGCAACAGTCATTGCAAGGTGCTTGGTGACAGTGGGAAGGAAAAACTCCCTTTTAATAGGAAGAAACCTCCAGCAGTACCAGGCTCAGACAGGAGTAGCCTCTGACTAGCTTGGAGTGACGTGAGGAGATCAAGACAAAAGACATGCAGGGAAAGAGACAGAAATTAATAATATCTAATGATTAAATGCAGAGAGGTGTGTAAAGACACAGTTAGTGAAGAAGAAACACTCAGTGCATTATGGGAAGCCAGTAGCGCAGACCTGGCAACCTAACTAAGGGATGGTCACCTGATTCAGCACCAACGACAAGATTTAGTTCAGTTGTTAAAACAATATTCATATTTAGAAATGAAACCACAAAAAAATACAAAAAATAAAGTTTATTTATTTAACTTGATAAACTGCCCTGAGCCATCCTACTCAACCTCTCTGCATTGAATCATATCTGTTATTAACCTCTGTCTCTCTTCCACAGCACGTCTTTATCCTGTCTTCCTTCTCTCACCCCAACCAATCACAGCAGATGGCCCCGCCCCTCCCTGAGCCTGGTTCTGCCGGAGGTTTCTTCCTGTTAAAAGGGAGTTTTTCCTTCCCACTGTCGCCAAAGTGCTGCTCATAGGGGGTCATATGATTGTTGGGTTTTTCTCTGTATGTATTATTGTAGGGTCTAGCTTACAATATGAAGCACCTCAAGGCGACTGTTGTTGTGATTTGATGCTGTATAAATAAAATTTAATTGAAATGAACCATACATGCAGTCCCCATCACTGCGCCTTACCAAATTAAATCACTACAAACTAATAAAGAACCGAAGACTGACTCATTTCATAAAAACAATGCAAGTACACATTTAGTTTTTTCTTATATAGAGCATTCAAATCTGCATGAGTTACAAATGATTCAGCTCTGTAGGAACCTTTGTGTTATTTTGCACATTGTCTTATGATGTGGTAACAATTTCTTGTTTTCATTGACTTGCAGATATTTCAGTGACATTCTTCAACTCAGTGGGACATTTAGAGATTTACTAGGAGAGTTTTAGCAATAGTTGGTGATGAAAGTCAATCAAATATTCATATGAACTGGTCTCAGCAGTGCTGCTAGCAGTTGTGTTGTCTGAACTGCCATTAGTCCTAACCGTGGCAATAACAAGGGGCTGTCACTTCACGGCACCCACTCGCTCAACAGTGATTCATGTTAACGCTCACTGAAAGTACGAGTGCGTTCAGTGAAGACGACTTCCAGTTACTTGGGATACCTTTGTTGTCTTTAAAACATTTTGAACGCTTTTCTTGTGAGAGACATTATGAGCACTTTGATGATGCCCAAGAGCACTTTCGTTCCTCCGCTTTTACTTTATCTACTACCGACACGTATAGCTCTTGTTTGCAGCCTTCGATGTTTGATGAATCGCTCTCTTTTTAAAAGAGAGCGATTCAGACAGGGTTGTAGGAAAGGATGCAAGTAATCTCTGATGAGCTCTCCAGAAGAGCCAAAACAATTGCACACACAGAAAATGACAGATTTCTAAGAGATGATAAACTATACACCAGCAAGAAGTTTGCAGTTGTTTCAAACCCAACAATCTGACTAGAACACCAAATCACTTATGTGCTTGGACGTGTTTTGCACTGTGGACGTCCTCTGATTGAGAGAAGACTCTGCTGTTACTATTTACAGACACATTTCCAGTAGCTTTTCGAGGACTTTCAGCATTATGGCTCAAAGCACTCAAGATATTCAATTTTTATGGTATGTACGCAAGATGGACCGTAAATGCATCTGACTATTCTTGGAGCCGACGAGCCGGCAGGTTATATCCCATTTTCAACAAAAGCAATTCAATCTAGTCAACATATCCACCGAGAAAGCCCGAAGAGCGACGATCCAAGGACTACGGGGCACCTGGGAATGCAGTTTCCCTTTGGATTTCTGCACGGAGACGTGGTCCAGCGACACCATCACACGAGGGAACACACTGGTGCCAAATTTTAGACTTACAGTGTCGAATCTTCTCTGTGTGAAAAACGCTGCTTAATTCAGCTGAAGTTGGCACACATTCTGAAACTGAACAGACTGTACAGCGAACCCCTGAATGCAATTACCCCACATCTGTGTTTCCATATCAAGACACCACACAGTAATTCTATCCGACAGGGACTAACCTAGGCATTACTGAATACTTTTGAGTACTTTGCATATAATCTGGATACCACGTAGATCCCTACGTGCAGGAAGAAGGTCCACGTCCAATGCCAATTACATGTACCACTTCAAATAAGTGCCAAGCATGTCGATGCGAGCCGCTGAGTAATTCTGCTGTAAAAGTGTAGCCAGAATAAGCCAACAGAAATCAGCAGAAGAGATTCTGATATCTAACTATACCCACAAACTTGAGCTGGCTGGTTTTTAGGAAGGACAAGTATAATATAATGAACCTTGCGCTCTAAAAAAGGATTCAATATACTCGAAATACCTGCAGCTCATCTCTAATTCCTGTGCACTCACAGCAGCAGACAGATCATGACAAACTCTCTGCTTCTAGAAATCCACTTAACACGAAACACCTCTGGCTTCTCAGCTGCAGTGCCATTCGTTTCTGCTGAGCAGAAACACACGGCGAGAGCCACACTGCTACAGACAGTGGATGATGCAGACAGTAGTAAACAGGACAGAGTGCCAGCCCCGACTAATGACAGAAAGCTGGGGCAAGCCCAACAGTGGACTCAGCTTCTGGTGGAAATTAGCTCTGGAAGACTGCAAAGTAACCAAGCAAAGCAACAACAGAATCTGCCACATCGCCGAGACGTTTCTCTCCAAAGTGCAGAATCAAGGTTGCTGAGGATGAGCAGGCTAGAGTAAGCCACATTGCAAAGTAATAGCAGCCTTACCTCTTAGTCAGATGCCAAAATCAAAGGCTTGGGAAGTCAGAAAATCATAGAGCTGGTTAAGCAGCTACAGGAATTCTCAGCTGGTCAGAAGGAAACTCTTAGGATCCAATTTCTTCTGTTATTTTGGGAATAATCTCTTTAGTTTAGAGGCTGGAGTCCAGCAGCAGCAGCAGCAGCAGACGGCTCATTTCCATGTGCAACACAGGTGCCTCTGACATGCTTCTTCTTCCCTTCAGGGGACCGGGGCGCCTTAGACTGCGATCTGGCCGGGGCAAAGAAGTGGATAAGAGTAGTGACAGCTGAAGTAGTAATATTCCTGTCGGCGCAAAGAACTGATCATCCTTCTGTGTGAATTAAAGCGGCGAGGAAGAAGATCCAGTGCACCAGAGCCGCAGAGCGCACAGCCGGCGCAGCACACTCTCTGTCGCTTAAATCCCCCCAAAACGGGCTGATGCTGGGCAGACGGCAAGCAGATCAACAAAGCGCGGAGAGAAGAGGTGCTGTTGCATCAACATTTCTCTGAGTCTAGTTTTCTGTTTGTTTAAACGGGGAAAAAATAAACCCTGGAAAAAAAAAATCACCAAAAGAGCTCCAACAGAATCACCACCGGCATCATCTCCTCTCCGGGGCTCACTCAAGTCTGCACAGGACCGATGTGACTGAGACGGACAGAGAGAGAGAAAGAAAGAGTGAAAGTGTGCGCATGCATGCATATATGTGTGCGCGCAATACAGGAGGACAGGCGGAGAGAAGAGAGCGGAGAGATGCGAACAGGCGGGAGGCTGCGAGCGCAAGTGGAGCCAAAGAGCGATGTGAGAGGAGAGGATGCTCGGAGGAGGAAGGTTGAGGGGGAGATGCCTGGAAGAGAGAAAGTGAGAGAGAAAGTGAGCAGAGGGGAGGGAGCTGCTTGCACCGTCAGTGACTACATTAACAGAACTGAGTAGGTGGAGTTTTCCTTGCAGGAGCTGAGCGGGGATCATGGTTTGAAACGGAGAGAGAGCGACACACGAGGGAGGATGCAGAGAAGAGGCTGAGTCCTAAAATCACTGACAGGGGGGAGAATCGGGGTGTTTAAAAGGTTAAAGAAACCTGAGAGGGGGGATTCTCTCCCAAAGCAAAGTGGAATTCGTGCACAGAGTGGAGGTGGTGGTGTCTGCTGGGGGTTGGCAGAGTCCTCCACCTGCAGTGAAGCTGGCACACCGACAGCCCGCCTCTTGCCAGGGGTCGTAAACATTGATTAGAATATTTAAAGACGCACGCGCTCACGCACGGGAAGGAAACACGTGGACACTTTAAGACCCTGGTGTAGGCGCACACACACACACACACACACACCAGCGACGTATATTTACACAGCTGCACTGTATAAACTTATAAACCATTTATAGACTTGTTTCAGCCTTCTCTTTATTTGGATATGGATTTCACTTTATTGCCTATTTTGTGCTCCGTCTTTAATTTTTGACTTTATAGACATATTTATGTGTTTGATCGTGTATTTACACATTTCATACACACACTTTGTGCTTACTGCAGGTTGTGTTGTAACTGTAGGGAATGTGTGTGAAGCGCTGTAGGATTTTTCCATGCAGATGCGCCGTTTCCTGTCAACACATTCTCATGTTAGGGCACCGGCTTCTGTCAGGGTCAAGCAGTAAAACTATTCCTTCAGCTCCCCATAGAGCGCCATGTTAACATGCCTTCAGCCATGAAAATAACAGTTTCCTCTTAAAGTCGTAAAAAATAAAATCCATTCTGATACTTCCCAGGCCTAAAATCAGGAATATGGTTCACTTGACTGACAAATATGGTGGCCTGAAGTTGTTGACCCCGCCCCCTCCTCCCCAAAAACCAATCACTGACGTCAGAGTGGCCTCATCCATTTGTTAAATACAACCCATGCATAGGATCTGTCAGCTGTATGTGAGCAGCTATGTTGTAGACTCTCATAGCGTGCTTTGAGCGACGGGGCTTCACCTTGCCCACTCCTCATTTACATGTAATTGAGGTCAAGCTGGCTTCCTGTGAATCTAACAGCATGACTGATTTATGGAAGCTCTTGAAAGACTTGGAGAGTAGCCATTGTTGCTCTACAGTGAAGATAAATATTCACAACACGTTCTCACTCCCAAAGCGTAACATTTTA